GATATCTGTTTCTGCTTGTGCCGCGAGAGAACAGAATCTAAGGACAGAATCCAAGGATAAGGAGGGTCTAGAAGTGCACGGAATGTTGAAGGAAGGAATACGGTTGAAGGATTACCTACATGGACCAATGGATACAGGAACAAAGCTTAAGGTCAAATTCAGGACCGGGGACATAGGCCTTCGAGAACGTCGACGAAGACATAGGACGGTAGACGAGGAAGACGACGAGTTCAAATGTGATTGCGGCTTCGAATGCGAAGACCGTGTTCATGTAGTCGCGGAATGTCCGTTGTACAAGAAGGAGAGGGAAGTGTACGTGACTGAGCTGGGAAAAATAGATGGAACGTACAGGGAGATGTTTGAGGCATGGAATAGAGAGGAAAGGACGGTAGCCGTACTGGGGCATAGAAGGTGGGTTGAAAAGGCGGGAAGATATCGTTAGGATAGACAGACCAAGGAAGACATTATTGAGTAGTAGAAAGGAACGATTGGCCATCGGTGATCGGTCCTGTGGGAACAATGCTCCGTCCTCTCGAGGACGCGTGGTCAATGGTCTAACCGCTAAGGCATGCACAACATAAGAGTACGCCTCCCCCCCCGCCCCCGGTGCCGCAACACCGATTGGTGCGAAATCACCGATGGGTACCATCACACGCACTTTTACGGTAGTTTGTTGGTGCTCCAGGTGTACATCGTTCACTACGTTCCCTCCCAGAGGTATGATGCTTCGGAGATGATTTGATTGCGACGTTAGATGGCTGGGGCAAGAGAAACACCTTCGGCAGCGTGTTTGTCCTGCCTCTACAGGCCTTGCCTTGTCGGAAGGAGCTCGCAACGAGAGGATGAGCACAGCACCCCATACCCGACCACCCCCACATGAGGCCCCAACAGGAAAGGGTCGTCAAGGGGTGCCCTCCACCGCCAACTTTCTCTCGAGGGGGTGGGTTCAATACCGAAGCTGTAGTTGTGACAAACACCTCAACGACTTTCCAAAGACGTATGGTAGGTACGACTGCGTTGCGCGCATGCCTACGCGCCCCTTTCCCTCGTATACTCATGGAGAACCAGTAGCCGTGTGCACGTATGCCCGTTGCTTCTACGATGACCAACGTGAGCAAGCACGGGCGTGATATAAACGCGATGTACTGTTTGAATGCGTGCGCGAACACGATCGAGATGTCGGTGCGCAGAAGAAAATCAGGGTGCCGCAAGCAACGCATTGGAAACCCACCGGATGACGCCTGGGGACCAACGTCACATGGACACAGCTCCTGCTGCTGTGGACTTATCCACCGCTCGCTGTGTGCTGTGGCGTTGTGGGCTTGAAACGGCGACGACTGTCTAAGTGTTGTTGGTGGGTCGCACGGGGAGCAACGGTCGCTGAGTTGTGACGTAGTGTGCACGTATCCGACGATTACGACAAGATTACTGTAGAGTGTCAAAAATGTCGATTACGAATATCAGGGGGTGCTGAAAGCCTTGACGCTTCTGGCTCAGTGATGCGTGCGGTAGACTGGACATAAGGAGGCGTTTTGAAGATCTTTCATCGAGGTTCCGTCCATGGTAAGATTACAGTAAAGCTGTCTACGTGTTGGCCGCATGCCGAAGGCAGAGGGTACCGAAGTACAGACAGCAGTGCAAGGTTGTGGGTGTTATTTTGTTGTAGCTGTTGACATCGTTGTTGTCTTTGTTTTGCTCTGGTAGACTGCAGAGCATGCAGAGGGTACAGATAATGCTGAGGCAAACCTTAAGAATCCTGCTGTAAGCACGACCGGCAACCCCCCTCCTACTCGACGAAGAAAGTCAGCGCCTTCACGGACGCGCGTGGTGTATGCATGCACAAACACGCAAGACACCAACGCCGCACCACCGCGCCGCAGCGCCGCACATCGAAAGTTGAAAAGTGATTGCGCCGCATATTATTTCGAACCTACGCAACACCAAACACCCGGAATCCTCTCTTCTTGACTCTACCGGCAATTGCTCTACAGCTGTGTGCTACTGCACATACCTTTCCCTTACGGCCGAGTGAGTTCTACAACGATAATTGATGAGCGAGAAGCACGGAGCACGAGAACCGCCTCATGTCCAGATCACAAGAGCAGCAGCCAGCTCTACAGCGGTGTATTCTGTGTGGTTGCTCACGTGTTTTTGAGCTTTTTGGAGACCTTCCTCGTCCCGCTCCTTCGCTTTTTCGCGGCATTTTTCGCCATGGTTCCCCCTCCCCTCCTTCCTTCTCTCTGGTTTACTGCTGTTTTGTTCGTGAATACAGCAAACAGCGAACAGCAGACACTGGTAGCTTAGCACCTATCACCGCTACACCGCTAGCATGCCGGTGCGGTCCAACCAAACAGGGGGCTCCGTACATCGATACATTGGCTCAGGGGACTCCGTACATCTTGTGATGCACAACTGCTGTGCACAGGTGCGATGTGTGTGTTACCCGGTTGTCCTTGCTTGTTGTGACCACGCACGCCTTCAGATTCCGGAGAGATACTCGGCCACGGGCACAGAGACGGTGTTGTATTCAACGCTGCCGCTGGTTTAGGGTTGATCAATTACCAATAACAGGTCCCAGCTGGCAGGGAAAAAGTGCATTTTTTTTAATCCAACGAAGCAGTGCTTGTTCTACGTATCGGAGAAGCGAAGAGTCGGTCCACGGCGGTACCAGAGCACCAGCACCAGAGCCAGGTTCAGTCCAGCGGTGCCCATCAGAAACATGGCGGGCTTCCTCTTGGTGATGAGCATAAATGTGCTGCTCTTGGTGCTGGCCATTTTCCTCATGTTTATTGCGGACCCAGAGAGGTGAGAGAGGCGTAGCACATGGCCAACGCGTGCAGCAGGTACGACGAAGACGATGTGTGTGAGTGGTATTGCAAGTCGTAGCCCACACGGTCAAATAATCTGTCCGCTGAGCTTTGCGATCTTTATGCTTGAGATGATGTTCTGCGGGGGGAGAGAGCTGCTGCTTGTTGCGGTTATGCACAGTACCATCTAAGCCTCCTTCGTCAGTGCCTGCGGCAGTACATGGACAAAGTATCGGAGACGGGAAGCGTTCGGCCACACCTCCAGCACCGTTGTCCTTAGCATTGCTCCGGTACTTACCATGACGCCACCTTTTCATGCATGCCTCCACGGATGGGCTACAAGGCTGTTGGCATGCAAGCGTTGAATTTCACCAACAACAAACTCATCGGGCACGAGTCGGCTTCGATCCAACCCTATCGTAACGTTTACGAGCAGTAGTCAGTCTGAATCGTGGTGCGGGTTCTTTTCGCTTTCGGTGCCTTTCTGAAACATGGGAATCGTATCCAAACAAGCTGCCGTCACATCGAAGCGTTCGCGTTGAAAAAAAAACAAACTCCAAACGGTTCTTCGACGTATTGTTAGCTCCTAAGCGGTGTCATCAATCTACCAGCCTACAAACCATGTGCAACCCCCCCCCCCCTTCACTCTGCGCAAGGGGGATGATCGCACCACGTCGTGTTGAATTGGTCAAGCACCCTCGAGGCAGTTACACAGTGCTAGCAACTGTCTCTGAAAGTGAAGTACCAGAAAATAAATTAAGTCATACGCAGCTGTCATCCGTACGCAAGTAAGTAAGCACAAGTAGCCGAACACCCTTAGCAGGATGTAGCGCACCCTTCATGCGACTCGCCGAATACCTCACGGCGCTTCGCGCTTGGTGATGTGAGAGCCTGGTCCGGTGNACGCAAGGAAGTAAGCACAAGATGCCGAAAACCCTTAGCAGGATGCAGCGCACCCTTCATGCGACTCGCCGAATACCTCACGGCGCTTCGCGCTTGGTGATGTGAGAGCCTGTTCCGGTGAAAACCCGGCGTGCTCCTTCCCGGCTTTGTAGAGATGCGAGGTCAATGGTCTCACGGATACGGCATGCACGACTACGAGTAAATCCCCCCCCCCTCCCACTGTCTCTCTCTCACACATCCACACTTCGTTCCGGTATGCGCTGCGCTCAATCCCCTCCCCCCTCCCCCGCCCCCCCCGGGGTTTTACCATCGGGGTTGGGTTTTCGTCGCTTGGCAACGACGTTGT